CTGCATTTTATCTCTCAGCTCTATCTGTTCTTCTTGTGTTTGAGTGACATTGACTCGCGTATGTGGTGCCCATGATAAAATGACTATTGGGAAAGTTGGAAATTTTTTTTTTGAAAAAGAAAAAAGGAACAGATTGGCGAAATTTTTTTTTAATTTTTACAAAATTCATTTCCTTGATGAAGATACGGCAATAGTTATTTCGTCACTTAGATGAAGTTTCTCTCGAAGCGTATACTCGGAAACATTTTCATCAAAAACAAAGGAAATTTAATGAAATTATAGCATTCATTTTTTATAGTGAATGTGCCTATCTTTTTAGTAAGAATTTATGATTATGGAATATTTACTTAAACTTTTGATTCGTTATAGCCGTAAGAAATTTAAAAAAAATTTCCTTTTCTTTTAGGAACTAAATTATTTAACGTAACCTTAAAACAAAGCGAAAAAGCGTCCGAAAAAAAATAGTTGTCACCTCTGTAATAGAAAAATATCTTGCTATTGTCGAAAACAACAACTTTAAAGAACAATTTTAGTCCTTCTATTTAAATTTTTGGTACAATTTGCTCCAGAGTGGGAAAGTTTAACTTTACAGAATCCACTTTGGGTTTACTTCTTTTGAAAAATAAAATTTCAAAAACAAAAAATTTATATTGTTTAAAATTATAATTCTTAACAGGATATGGAAATTATGATAAGACACAATTAATATATTAAAGAATTATGTAAAACTCCAAATTAGTTTGCAATTCATAGCAAACATTTGAATTGTTATTAGAGATTGTAGTTCTAATTTCTTTGGTTCTCATTTCACGACTGTATTCAGAAACTACACATATTAATTATTATCATCGCGTACGTCAACTGACCCTAAACGTTTTCAAGATAAATTTTGTCTTTTAAGATGATTTCACCAACATTTAAGATTATATTGGTGTACAAAAATGTAAAATGATATGCAATGCGTTATCGGTAGTATTTATTTTATTTGAACAGTCGTCCCAATACTGAGTATACGACTGCCAATGTTCAACTCCGTAGTCTTGTAATTCTGAACTCAATCGGAAGACAAGGGAACTCCTGGATCAAGCATTGCCTTAGAGGAGGACTTTTTGATAGAACTTACCTGCATTTGCGTTATATCGAGAAGAAAACCTCTCACGGTTAGCATGAGGGCAAGAGAACTCTAACCCATGATAACACTGAATATATTTTTACGTCAGCATTGTTGTCTGTACGAGGCAGCAAAATTCGATCAGTCATCGCTTTAATTTGGACCCGGGTCACCTCATTGGCAGGCGAGCACTCTATCCTTGATCCACCACGACTCATGGTGGTAATTAAATTAGCTATGACACACTTACATAAATAATGAGAATAGGCAAAATGACAATTCAACTCATTATTTAATCCTATAATATAATTTGTTATTTTATTCGTTACAGAGAATGTACGAATAGACCAATGAATACTAATCATACTAATTCAAAAATTAAATTAATCACATTTTGCATTTTCTCGAATTGTTATTCGTTATTTGGCATTGACTACAGTGCATAGGGAATTCATAATAATTTCAAATTCATTTTATTCCATTAATTTTATTTAATATTATTTTTAAAAATTGACCAATTTTATGATCACGAATTTTAAATCTATTACATTCAACAGTCATTGTTATTAGAAATTAATTTAATTGAAAAAATAACTTTTAGCTTTTTATGTATCACGTATTTTGGTACTTATTCTTTTTTTTTTTTTTTTTTTTTTTTTTTTTTTTTTTTTTTTTTNTTTTTTTTTTTTTTTTGATCCTCCTTTAGAAACAAATTTCAGAAAAAAATAATAATAATAAAGGAAAAAAAGAAAAAGATGGCGAGAAAAAAAAAAAGAAAGAAAAAAAGTTTAGCTTTCGTAAGTCACAAAAAAAGTTCAAAACTAAAAAAGAGTACTAGAGAAAGCATTTTCATCAATTTGAAAAGAAATTAATTGCATAATTTCAAATTTGCCGATGGAATTTCTCTCACGCATTTCGATTTCGAAAGCAAGCTCTCAGTAATTTAAGAGAAAATATCTTGATTTTTTTGTGTTTGTTAAAGTTTTTTTTTTTTTTTCCTGCAACGCTCTTCTGGCGTACTGCCTCTTTCCATTCATATCGAACTTTTCGTGGCGCCATCTTTTGATTAGAATGTCACTCAATATAATATAAAGTCAAATGCAATAACAGCATATTTTATAATATAATAACTTTTTGTTTGTCGTAATTAAAAAAGTAAGAAAATCGTTTAACGGTTTTTATATAAAAAATTTGGAGAGTAATTGATTTTATTTTAATAAAGTTAACGCAATTTATAAATGAAATTCTAAAATGTAAAGTACACTTAATTTAAAAACAAAATTAAAGAAAGAAAAAAAAATAGAGATAATGTTTCATATTTTTTTTCTTTTGATAATTTTTTCGTATTAAATTTTATAAATAAAGCATTTCATGCTATCTCTAATTATCTTATTTTGACTTTTGAATTTTCATATTTTCTGGTCTAGATGGTTTAATTTTAAAATAAAATAGCAGAGGTGAATGTAATTGCTATTCGACAAAGGCGATAAAATGTAAAGAACAACCTCCATATCTCTTAATTAAGAACAGCAATAAAAATCTAGCACAACATATTAATATTTAAATGAAACATTGTAAATGATTTCTAACAAATTTGTCATCTCCATTATGAAATTGTGAGGACTTCATTGTTGTAGTTTTGAGAAGTTTTAATCAACAAATACTTTTTCTAATTTTGAAATTGGAATATTTCTTGTAAATAAAAATTTAAAAAGTTTTATGAAATTTTGTTGATTTCTATCATATCAGTAAATGTAAAAAGTAACATTATCTATAAAATCTCTTTATAAAAATTATAAATTCAATTTTCAACAATTAATTAAATCATAATATGTTTTCAAGCTTTCTTAAATACATTAATCTTAGCATAGCATATACCGTAATCATTGTTTTATTTTGATATATTATTTAGAATCTCTATTAAAAATGAGTAAAAAATCTAGCATTTATTAGGGGTTTTATTTTATTAGAACGGTCCCATGCCATTTAAATGAATGATTATTTTGACACGTGAAAGTTTAAATATCATTTTGAATTTTCAAGCAAATCGAGAACATTTTAACGCTAGTAAATATACATTAAATTCATAAAGTATGTTTACAACGTAAGTCCAAAATGATAACGCAATAGTTCACCAATATATTTCCGTTTTCATTTTTTACCTCGTTTTTGACTTTCACGGATTTTAAAAGAACAAATTTAAATTTGTATAATAATTGTTTTTTTTTTTTTTTTCAGAAACAACAAGCATATACATTGACAAATATATATGCCTGCAAACAAACATATACATTGACAAATATTGTTCACATTTTATATTACTGCATTCTATTTCGAAATAATGTAATATATTAGTGTATATCTTCAAGCAAATATTCGCTTTTTCATGTACACTAATCAAATATTATTAGGTATTAGAGAGAAAAAAAATCTGTAAACTTCAAGGTTTGAGTAAACTATTGGTTTTATTTACTTTAGATATCAAGAATACTCAAAAATCGAAGGAAAAGAAAACATTTAAGTCTACAAATGTAAAAAGAAAAAAAAAAGATTTTAAAAAAATAGACAAAGTCATTCGGAACAACATCTCTTTGATGCCTCCAGCTCATCCATACGCGCTTAACTGCTAGAATCGCCCATTATCTTTGAGAATGTGATTTTTTTTTTCTGTTGACTAGATTTGAAACAACAATCGTTTTGTTTCCCAGCATTTTGTACAAGTAAGGAGATGAAACTTCGAATTATAGAGGCCATTTTCCACGATTTCTCGTATAAAGGTGCTGCAAATACTAATGGGCGATGATAGAGGGCTTGCCGAATAAATTCATGGGTAGATAAAAGACAGTTTTGGAAAATAAAGTTTTTTGTCTTTCTCTTCTTGAAGTGATTCATGCTTGCAACATATTTTCGACGATTTAAAGTAATTATAAAACAGATCATTCACTCTTCTGAAATCATCCAATTAGTTGGCCCAATTCTCATGAGATCGTGTTATTTTCATCATTTCTTCAAAATTATTCTTACACTTTTAGCATTTATTTAAGCATTTAGGAGTTTGGGTTTATTTTTGCAGAATTGGCCAGTATTAGAGAATATTTGACATGTATGTAAAATACACTGTAAAGATATCCGGATCAAATTACGGTATAAGGTACCGGCACTCCGGATGAATCATCCGTAAAATCCATGTTTCCCGTAAAATATTATATATTGCATAACTATATATGTATATAAATATTATATATAATTATGTAATTTTTACAGTAATATTCATTTAATTTGAGTGATTCAGTGCTGTTTGTTACGGTAAATTATTACAGTAAAAAAATATTTTACGTCAGAGTTTTGTTTCGTAGCATGTTTAGGTGAAAATGAATTTTACGGTAAAAAGAACCGATACCCTCAGTGCCGGTAATTTTACCGTCATTTTATCCGAAATTTTTTGCAGGATAAACAGTAAAACTTGGGGTCAAAATTTAATATTTGGTGACCGAAAATATTTATAAAGTCATCATTCATTTTTTTTATTTCCATCTTAAAAAGCAACAAAGAAATGAACTTTAATTTCAAATGAAGTTAAAACCATTTTAAACAGACAAAGTCATGGGCAGAGATAAATTACATTTTTTTAAAAATTTTCAGTTCTTAGTTCATTTTATGAAACAGAATACGAGCATTTGTATTTATGTTTCATGGTAGTACATACCGTAAGCATATTTGCAATAATTTAAGAATATAATTCAATTTTAGAGGCTTGTTTGAAAACGGAAAACACATCTTTTTTTCTTTCAATTTGCAGATTTTGTTATAACTCTTCATGCAAAACATGATAAAAGAAGTTCTTTATTGAAAACAATGAATTCAAACAACATAAAAGCAAATCACTTACTCATGAGCGGGCTGGTGCAGGGCGTAATGACTTCATCTCTGTATGGTGCATCCGTGATATCTTCAAAATTCATGATGAACATGTTGATCTCCCCCACCTCATTCTTTATCGGCGCTGTCACCTGACTGCACAGAAACTTGGTCCCTATCGCAGAAAAAGATCATCATTATTTATGCTTTCATATTAAAATGTAACGTGCTTAAAAGTAAAGCAAATAAAATTTTAAAAAAAATTAAAAGCTACGTTTTTCAAGTCGACTTAAAAAAGATAAAAATTTTTTTTTTGTCATACTTGAATTGAAAAAAAAAACGTAAGATGCTTTCCTTTTATATGAGGTGAGTGGGAATAGAAGGTGGTTGTTGTTGTCATATTCCATTAAAGCAAAGGGGATGCGCTTCTTATTGCTTTCCAATGGCGCCATCTATGAGTAAGAATTCGATTGCTGGCACACACATACGTTTCAGCCCGTTTATTGAGAGGACTCATTCACATCGTAATTTGGATCTGAACTAGATCTACATATCGTAATTTAGATCTGAACTAGATCTACAGATCGTAATTTTGATCTGAACCAGAGAGCGATCAATCTCCAATTCAGTACCCCCAGATGTATGATTTGTTATGGGAACATGGAGGACTTTTTGACTCGATAGATTTAACGTGCATCAGTCACCATTTACTGCACAGGGAGTCTTCGGTAATAGAAGGTGGTGATGGAAGCTTATTGTCATAGTGTTATGAACATCGTTTTTCATTTATGCTTGAGCGAAATATTTATTTTTTTCCCCTTTTTTTTAAATTACTGGAAAAAAATAGTTTTTATTTAATTTTATTTAGCTATGATGAAAAATGCAATAAAAAACCATAAATTGTTGAGTGTCTGTTCTTCAAATGCACAGTATGAACTAACCATTTACTTTAAGTTTTACTACAGAGGGCTCTGTACTCAACAAAACTCTCCATTTTGACGATTCAGCAATCGGTAATTTTGAGAATTATTTCGTCACAATTCACGAAACGAGAACTCTCAAATGTATGATGAAAATGTTTGCTCAACTCGGAACCTCATCGAAGTGCATTGTGGGAGAGTGTCAACGCGAATGACGAAATTAGAATGAAAACGACGATTAAAAATAAAGTGACGTTTTAACTCGAATGGCTTGTATGGTGGTGAAGGGGTTAGTCTCGTACCGGAAAGATCCAGGATTCGAATCCTGTTTCGGGTGTGGGTGCAATTTATCTCTAAGCTGTGTTATGCCACCTACATCGTGCACAGGTTAAAGTAGTCATTAGAAAATTTAAGCTCAACCAGGTTTTTTTTCCCGAAATAAAATAGATGGACGAAATATTTTTTTAATTTAGACGAAACTCGTTTTCTCGAAGCGGTGACGATAGTTATTTCGTCACTTTGGCGAAATTTTTACTCGGAGCATATACCAGGAAACGGTTTCGCCCGAAACAAAGTTTCGTGATATTTGAGTGTCCATTTTTTTACAGTTTGTGAGTAAGATGAAAAGAAACATTAAAAAAATGTGCTGTGTTAATGTCGCAATGAATTGTTTGAAGATAACGCTACTTGCACTTCTCGCGATTGTAATATCGTAAATAGGAGAAATTTTTTTTGGTTTTTAACAAGTTGCAATGAGATACCCGCAAGTGACGTAGTATGGGTATCTCGATTTTGATTGGTTGTTGAAACGTGGCATTCGCTTACGTTAGAAACTGTTTTTTCATTCTATTTCGAGTAAGCCAAAGGATATCAATTCTCTTAAGTAGCATATTCTACATTCTTTCACGAGGATTTCAATTCTATATATTTCTTAAGGCCTGGTTTCTTAGGACAGGACGCCGTCAGCTGGAAATCAGCGCTAACCTCTGATTGGTCCATTTGTGAGTTTGATAGTATACGTCATCGAACGCTCATCTTGAACTACAATTGCCGTCCAACTCAACTGCAGTTGGATTACAACGTGACGTTAACCACAGAAGCAATGGCGGACAACATCCAACAGCACATTGAAATCAGCCAAGATTTTGATTTTGACATTAAACATAGCTTCTTCATTAAACATAGCACTCTTCATTTAGCTCAGCTATAATGTGTTTTTTCTTGGACAAAGTCATTATTTGTTCTCTAAAACACTGGTCGACAATAACAAAATCAATACAAATTCAAAATAAATATTTGTTTACGTTATTAACGCATGCGCAATGAGAGATAATGTCTGCGTTGGACCGACTGCTCACGCTGAGCTAACAAAAAAGTATTTTTTTGGCGTCAGCTCTACGTCAACTTTCCGTTGACGCCCAGATAAGCCGCTAGTTCTAAGAAACCAGGCCTTGAGCTAACAAACCAGTATTTTGTTGGCGTCAGCGTGACGTTGACGTCCCGCTGACGCTCAGATAAGGCGCTTGTCCTAAGAAACCAGACCTTTACTTAACACAAAGACTGGCACGAAGCCATGTAGAACATAAATCACGAAAATATATCTTGGTTACTATAAAATACTTTCACAAATAATAAATCTAAGTTAAGTAAAAGACGCAGACGAGAAGGAATTATATTTCAACAAATTCGATATGCGATATGGATCTTTATTTAATTAACTTCTCATTAATTAACGTTCTAACTTATATGGGGAAACTTGGCACAACTTTAACACGCCATTTTGCTTATAGACAATCAGCTGGCTCTAACGTCATGGGTCACATGCGTGGGTATCCGTGATCTTCTTCTTGAAGTGCAAGTACAAAAGTGTTTTTTTTAAAATATGTGTTGAATTTGAAGATTTTCGAACAGAAGATTGAGAAATAAAAATATTCATTGATTTGATTAATTTTAAGTGTTTATTGTTGAAAATCGATTAAAGTGTGTTACGCGCTAATTTTAAGAGGCAGCGTGCTACATATTTTTTCTTAATTCTAAAATGCAATTTCATTGTTTCTCAAGCTCTCTCCAAAACCCATATCATTGTAGCATTCAAAAAGGATTTGGTGTTTATTAAGGCTAAAATTTCGTTTTTTGAGAAAAGACATAAAAAGAAAACTTATTTCGTGCCATAAATAAAAAATCAAGATCAAACCATCTAGAAAATTTGCTAGGAAGGAAATGCATAAAAACTTCCTCGAAAAATGTACTTCAGTTTTCCATATTTCATTCCCTTTATCCGAGAATGTAACAGTAGTTTAAAGGTTAGGCTGTGAAGAAAAATTTAGGGATATTTCAGAGACTACTGTGAAACCATCTGAAGTTAACACAGATTTTTCAAGTTCCTTCAGTCGTAACTCCAGGGTGGATAAAAAAGAGTAGGCTGAAAAATCACTCAATAAATTTGGATCGAAAAGTTGAGCTAGTTTTATAACGAAGCATGATGTTATGGAGTTAGAAAAAAAATCAGCTTCCGTATAATGCTTGCTTTATACGACTAAATTGTTTTTCAATTTAAACATTATAATCTTACCTTGACTTGTAGCAAGAATTAATCTTTGAGTCTGGAAAAAAATATTTTGTTTATCTGGCGAGAAATTTATATTTAATTCCAGATGAAAGTTACTAAAAATTCAAATAACGACTCCCGGTGGCTGAGTGGTAGCGCTTTGTGCTCCCGTTCCACAGGTCCTGGATTCGATCCTCGGGTCAGGAAAGGTCGACTCAGCCTTTCATCCCTTCAGTGGGTCGATAAATGAGTACCAAGCATACTTGGGAACTGAACACTGGAGGTTCAGCGTTCGGCTGACCACCTAACCGGAACATCTGCACCTGCACCCCAGAGCCCAAGGTCAAGAAAACTGAGATGGTCACAATAGGCCTTGACCCTCTATGGGCTGTCGCACCGCTGAGTTTAGATTAGAATGCAAATAACAATTAAACATAATTCTCAAAAGGATTTACCTACAGTTCTAGATAGAACAAACCACAAATTAAGAAGAAAAAAAAAACATGAACCGAGGGTGACATAAGAAAAATGAACTACTCTGAATAACCATTGATCCTAGTGATTGGATTTTTACGCACTAGGACTCAATCCTAATGGTTCGAGGAAGTGATATCAAATATGTTAATTATAAGTGTAGATGATATTTTAAGTTTCGAAATCAGACACGAAAACTCAATTTCCTTAAATAAGCATGACTTTTTTCCGACAAATTTGGATTTCTGACCCCCAAAATATTAGGGACAACATCAATCTGGGAAATATGGTCCCAATAGTTTGGTCAGGAGAGTAATTCAAAATCTGAGCTCCCTAATATTAACTTCATTTTTTGCGTATTTCGCCATATTTAAGAAAGCATTTTTTATATACTTTCACCCAAAAATATAGAAAAATGGCTTTTAGTACGAAGAGAGAATGTTTAACAATTTCCAAAATTTCCAAAAAGGATTGGGTATACTTTGTGCTGTGTAGGCTAAATACTACTACTACTAATAATAAAACGTCAATAACGTACAGAATAGGAACTTATATGTAGGTATAGAAAGTTCCGCGCTTTCGCTCGTCCTTTACTTTGGCCTTATTCTTCAAAATTTCACTTTCAGAAATAAAACTCTCAATTTTGACGATTCAGCTATACTTGAGCAGTATTTCGCCAACTTTGGGAATCATTTCGCCATGAAATTACGTGATTTGTAATGAAATGCTAACTCTCAAACATATGACGAAAATGTTTCCTAAGTGCGAAACCTCATCACAGTGCATTGTGGAAGATTGTTAACTAAAATGACTAAACTAGAATGAAGACTAGACAATCGAAAGGAAAGTGGAGATTGGAGTCGACTGGCCTGTATTTTGGACTAGGAGTTGACCTCGTTTCAGAAAGATCCGGGATTTGAATCCCGCTATGGACAAGGATGTAATTTTCTCTCTCTTCTTGTGTTGTTTCACCTATACGGTGCCCACGTTAAAGTTATTGTTGGAAAAGCTGAATACATTATGCACTATGAGATATTCTGTTGGGAAAAAATTGGATTGATGAAATATTTCTCTAATTTTGACGAAATTTATTTCCTTGAAGAATAGTTATTTTGTCACTTTGAGGAAATTTTTGCTTCTAGCATATACCAGGAAACGGTTTCGTGAAAAAACGAACGAAATATTTGGGTATCCTTTATTTGCAATGTTTCTTTTAAAAAAATAGATTTTTTG